GTGTGTATCGCTTCAGATTAGCGATATGTTGACTTCCGTGGCTGGCCCCAGTGTGGGGATCTTTTATCTCGTAGACTACTGGCGAGATAATCTTAGCGATCTCGTAAGGTCCTGACCACTTAGGTGCCAATTTAGCGCTGAAGCGTCGGCTAGAAGAAGAAATAGGGTGAGCTTTTAAGACAACTAATGAACCAACCTTGAATGTATCTGGCCGCCTTCTTAAATTGTAAGTCCTTCTCTGTTTTTGTTGCGCAGTTCGCACGTTGTCTCGGGCTTGTTTTCTTATCTGTTGCAATTTTGCCCATTTTTCTCTAATAGTCGTAGGGCGACTTGGATAAGACGTCAGGCGGTCCCACGGGAGTGCAATCTCTCTCCCGAGATGTAGTTTAGCTGGCGTATACTTTGTCGAATCCTGTCCTGAAGTTCGTAATGCCAGCGCTAATTCTGATATATGGGTGTCCCATTCTTTATGGTTTCTTTCGATGTATGCCGCAATCATCCTACCCAAGGTGCGGTTCCCTCTTTTTGTAAAATTCGACTGAGGATGATATGGCGTCGTCAGAATATGCTTAATTCCGGTGCGGTCACAAACTTCCGCTAGGAGGTGAGAAATGAATTGTGTACATAAGCATCATTCGCATAATGTCATAATTTTAACATTGTAAAATAACTTGGTGTACATAACGTAACGTTTTCTAACTAATTGCTGTTCGTTCGTCTACCAATTATCTTTTTGGATTACAAAGACGCTACACACTGCATGTTTCATACAGATACAGCTATGCCACAAACATTGTTTTTCTTTTTGGGCTACAATTTGAAAAAATTGTAAACCTATAAATTTTCACTTGTCTGTCCATCTTTCCTTAATCTCAGAATGGAGTTAAAGGAAATCCAACTCCAGATATGGACACCTTAGGCTGCAGGCCTCGATTAACTATATACTAACTTCCGATGCAAACTAGAAGTCACATTATTTGAATTCAAAACTTTTCCCCTGAAAGCAGTTAATAGGTGACTTGCACAACTCTATTGTTAAAGGAAAAGTATGATGTACAGAGGCAAGACACTACACTGCTAATTTGAGGTGAAGAGAATATATTCCAAATTAAATAAATGAAAAATGATTGTCACAATGCCAGACTGCAATTTTTTTAATGTCACAATAAATATTTGCTTGTACAATAAGACCCTGCTTAATGCGGGGATATGTTCTTAGATGACAAAGCACTAAATGAAACAGCATTAAACAAGGTCATTTTAACAGAGTAAATAGGGAAAGGGAAACACGTGACCAAAAATAAACCAATTTTAAGTTATTTTTATATTAATTTGTATAATAATAATATGATAAATAAGCACAAGCATATGCATACAGAAATGTAAAGTTCATTTTTTGTGATGAAGGTCCTGACTTTTCTGAAATTATTGTTCTTTTGCAATAAAGTCTTGTAATTAAATTATTGTTCTTTTGCAATTTCATTTGTTGCTTTTTTCTTTCCTTAAGCAAATGTCAGTATCAGATGATTGCATCCAAAACACCTTGTTTTGCTTTTGCATTCTTTTCAAAATCTGGATCATTCGCTACAATTTGAATAACAATTTCGGTTATCGTTATCAAACTTCTAAGGAAATCTGAAGAGAAATTCTTTGCATTATTAATTTTTTGGAATCACTATTTTCCAGTTCTACACGAATTCCTTGTTCTGCCAGTTTTTGAAGGTTGTTGTTGGTAAGGTTCTCACCAGAAACCTGCAGTAACTCCTCAATATCTTGCTTGTTTACATCTAGTCCTGCTGTATCGATTAGGTTGACAATTTGGTCAACCTAACAATAGTGATAGGCTGTTTGTGTTGAGAATTCTTGCATACCTTTAGCCATAACTTCTTCTACACTTTGTTCGTGTATTTATCAGTTAATTCTTGCCAAGCGAAGTCAATATTGCGTATGGCATCTATGATATATTTTTTCCAAAATTGCAGAATTTAAGGAAAGTACAGCACTATGACAAATTGCCACCTTTTGCTGATTGGTTCATGTTCAGGAATAATCATATCACATACAAATCAATGAAATGCTGTCATAATTTGAATCAGCATAAATTTTGAGTAGTAGTTGTTGTTTTTTTTTTAGTCTTCAGGCAGACTTCATTATATCGAGGCAGTGTTAAGCGGAGTCTTACTGTATTTATAAGATGATATATTTTTCAAATAACTTTTCAGCCATTGTAAATATTAAACAACAATAGTGTTGTCAGGTGGATGGCTCATTGGATCTGATTATTACGTGTAAGTGTGGATATAAGGGCTGTGGTATAACTGATTATAATGTTAGGGCTTATGCATAATGTCTTTCAATGTAAAAACATGAAAATAATTGTTTGTAATTAATAAATTGCTTATATGTTAAATTGTTTTTAAAACAGTGGCAGTTGATTTACTTCCAATAAATAGTTGTTGGCTAGCTGACCATTCACCAATAAATTTTTATAAAATTATTCTGTTAATTTTAAAATGCTTTTTACATTTAATTAACAGATTTTTTTTTCAAATCCAAGAGTCACTACTCATTAAGAACATTATTTACAGGTAACCCCTGTATAACACGGCACTTCTATAGCACGGATTCACTCTAACACGGTTCGATAATTGGNACCTGTTCAAGCTATACTGCCCAGGAACATCAGACATCTTCTGCCCACTCTACCTTTGCTATTATACTCTCATCTTTCGAAAATAAAAGCCGATGCGAAACTTAACGAACCAGCCCAACAGTCTCGCGAATACTATAAAAAATTTCTTTGTCAGAAAAATAAAAGACTGGAATTACAAAGGAGAGTTTCAAAGTTTAGAGGAATACTATCAGATCAGTATATACCGGGTTAAATGTCGATGTCGACATCTCCTGTGCTCCAAAAGGTTTCAAATTGTTACCTGAAGACAAGAGAAAATCAATTGGTATTCATTATTTTCCGTTGCTTCTTTTTATGTTTTTTCAGTGAAGTGTTCATTATCTGAACATGTGTTTGTTGTTAAACAAAAATCTTTTGCGAAAGTGTTTATCTGATTTGTTCGTTAACAGATCACCCACTGTATATGCAATTAGACCTTTAGCACTTTTTAGCAAAACAAAAGAAACGAGTGTGTATTTTTCTCCATATATTTTATTTCTTTGAAATTTTTTTAAGTATGAAAATTAAATTTCTAGGAAAACTTATAGAACTAATGTTGTTCACCATTAAAAATTGCAAATAAAAATGTTTCAAGCCTAGAACCCATATTTTAAAGTTACAAACCACTGCATGTCGTATGATCCTGTATGGTGATTGCATCAGCTAACGTTCAGAATGCGTTATGGCTTTTCTTAATCATCACAATGGTCAAATATTATGAAAGCCACAACACGAATTTTGCTTCGTGATTATTTTTGAGTTAGCCACAATGCGTTGCGGCTGCTTTTACAACTGCCATGACATGAATTTCACTTCGTGGCCGTATTTACAAATCCACGATGCGAATTTTGCTTTGTGGTCGTTCTTTTCGCTCAATTAGCAATTTCTGTCTTTGAGTTTAACATATATAATGTTCAGGGTGTATGTTTTTGTTATTGGGGAGGAAGAATTCTCTGTCTTACAGACAAATCTTATTGTATTAGTTAAAAATAATAATTTATCTAAATATATGAAATTGCTTGTCCTGACTGACTGACTCACTCATTCACTCACTGATTCATCATCGCCCAGAGTAAACCACTTAACCTAAAGAGGTGAAATTTGGTACGGTTAGGGTACATCATGGAAACACACACTAAGAAGGGATTTTTCGAAATTCCCTGCGGGGGGAGAGCATTAAGGCTTAACTGGAATAATGGCTTCTACTGTACTATTTTAGATGCGTTTTTTTTGTTTTTATCTGTTTTAGTAGGGTATGCCATGGCAATTCACACTAAGAAGGGATTTTTCGAAATTCCCCCGTGGGTGGGAGAGGGAGAGGATTTAGTCTTCATCAAGCACTTAGGTATATTAATTCTTATTCAGACATTGTTATAAATATTTTTATCTATTTCAATTTTAAAAATGTTTGAACCGTTTTAAATTCGAATTTGTTATTGCATATTGGTTCGATTATAGAATGATTGTAAACGTTCCTGAAAATTGATCAAATTGAAAATAGTGCATTTTATTCTCCGCAATTCTCATCATTTTCAGCGGTAGGTGTTATATAACAATTACTATGGTTGTTGAAATACTGAATATAAATGGGATTTGCTTGCGAAATCTGTGTGGGCAAAGCCACTGGTAACAGCTACTTTTATATATATACACACAGCAATTAGAACTGTTTGAATATTTTTAAAAATTGGTATAAAATCACTAAACAAACAGGAAAAAACAGATATTTCAAATATTTTAACAGTTGTAAGTAAAGATCTACTGTAATGCTTTTAATTTTGGAAATTAAAATAAGCCTTGAACTATTAGTAGGAAAGTAGTATAAGGTAAATTGCAAAATTTGTTAATTACTGGTAAAAGTAATTGAATAGTGATAATCAAATTTACTTGACAAAGTGCATTATATTTCCAGATGGATAAACGGTAATAATAAATTAACTTGTCACCACTAGATAAATTGATATACTTTTTCTATCCCACACTCCCCTTCTGAAAAAATGAGTTCATACCACACAGCTTACTGTGCAGTGGATCTTATTTTTTTCAGGAGGGGAGTTGACTTATTTATTAANAAAATTATTTATATTAATGATGTCTCCAAAGTTCAGCGAAGTTTTCGCAGAAAAATAAGTTATTAGAAATCGGCCGCGGTTTGCTGAGCTGTTCCGCGGCGAAAACAAGCTTGAGCAATGCCAATGTCGAATGGTGCACACTCGGTAAGTAATCCTACAATTTTTTGTTTATAGCGTAGTTTATACGGATTATTTCCAAAAAAAATATATGTATTTTGGAAATGTTGAGTCGGATTAGTCTAGAATCGATTAATTTTATGGAAGAAAACCTTTCAAACATCAAACTTTTACTTGTTTGCCAGTATGGAGATTAGAAACTTTACCCCAGAATTTACAAAGTATAATTTAGAGTTTTTTTTTTCTGCCTGGTTTATATCAAAATGTATACATTTTGTTTTTGTGTGTTTATATAGTTTGGTTTCTTTTGTTTTTTGCCACTTATTGTGATGTTTTATTTTTATTTAATGTGTAAAAGTACGATTCATACATTTTTCAAAATTTATCTTATTCCAAAAATGGAATGTTGTACACCATTATAGAATAGGTAGCAGTTTTGTTTTTGTTAAATTGTAAAATTCAAATATCTCCTGAAGAAGGTTGATTTTAAGAATGAAAATATTAATATAATAACCATTTACCATACAGTGGATATTTGTTTTGTGGTTTAGGAAACATATTGTCGTTAAGAGAATAATCTGTGTAGGCTATAGTAAATACTGAATATAGGATGCATCCCTACTTTGGCATTGTTTTCAAAGAAGAAAAATTAAATATACAAACATCAGTTTTTTGAGCCTGATCAATTTTCACGTTTTTCTACATAAAGCAAAATGTGCTGCTTAAAGCTAGTAATACGAGGTCTGTAAATAAAGTAACAAGACTGGGGAATTTCATAAAATCTCTTCTTATACCCCGTTTGCACTGAGCATTTCGATCTGGATTATGACCAAGGTTGGCAACTATGCCGTGGTGCAACCTCTCTCGACCGTTTCAATCTTGACTGAAACAAGGTTCAATCACGATCGACTCGAGAGTTCTCAAAACTAGATCCAGTCATAAGAGAGATCCCACAATCCCCTGCACGTGAGAAAATACAAGATGGTTGCGGAACACATGTTAGGCTACCAACAGAGAAATAAAGACACCTGGAGAGACGATGACATCTGTTTATTATTAGATGTATGGCAAAAAAAAGTATTTATTTCTAACCAAAACTTCCATTTTGTTTGTTGGTGTTTGTGACTTACTGCATAGTTATGTCAGTTTTATCATCACGTTT